TCTACTAAATCAAACATTCATACTTCCTCATCAATTCTGAGTCAATGCAGTCCCTTTCAAATCCTTTTTATATGCATTTCTCCATCAACCTTTTCTGCTAATTAATCTGTTCTAAATTAGTTCCAACTATCAATATATATAAACTCTAGGAACATATATAGTACTTCAATCATTAAGTCTTAGATTTCTCTATTTTCACTCTGGATCTCTAGTTCTTATTACCTTAAATAAGTACTAGCAATCAAACAAATTTATTTTCCTTCTCAAGGGGAAAATCATGAGCACAAAAGCTAACAAAGAAAGTGGATTAATCAAGAAGTGCATTTAGGCGCCCATTAAATTTCTGATTAAACCAAGGGATTTTTACATTTGTAGCCTAACGGATTGTTCTTGTATGGTTGGTTATGGCAGTGTGATGGCTTGTCCAGCTCCTCTACAAATTTTAACTTTGCACAAGAGTTTTAGTGTTAATTCCTCTTTATCAAATGAGGTTAAAGATTTTAAGGAGCTAATGAGGATTGCTTCCACAAGAGAGGTTCTAAGGAGACAATCTTCTAGTAAATACGGGGCGAATGTGATCCCTAGGAGTCGATCTGTTGCGATTGAGAGAATCGATGAAGATAAACCTTTTGATTTTGATGAAGATGTTGTGGTGAAAACAGTTGTATTTCCAAGAAGTAGAAGCTATGATGTTTCTACTAGAAGAACAAAGATGCTCTAAAATTATAATCATTAATGATACGTTGACGCGACAAATAATAGTACAATGAGCTAAAGAAATAGTACCCCTATCTTGAGAAAGTTAGGACGTTCATATGTTTATAGTTTAGTTCATAATTTTATTATAATTTTTATTAAGTCTATATTTATATTGTAATTACGCTGAGTCAGCACACTAGACTATTAGTCAGTGTTAGTTAGTATAGTTTGTTAGTTGTTAGCAGATTAGTTAGTGGAGGTTTTATTTTCTTATTCTCTTTCCAGCTGTATCCTAGATGTACACTTGTATATAATTGAACAGTACTCAATACAAACCTAAGAGTTTCATTTCACAAAGTGAGAGACTCTCTACAGCTCTCATTTCTCTCTCTACAAACTCCATCTTCTAGAAGCTCTTGAATCCTCCATTGGAGGACATACAGAGCTTAGTCTACATATATAATCTTGACATGGTATCAGAGTGGAGGTTCTCTCATCGACCACGTCCTTCTTTGATTTTATGTTGATTCTAATCACTGAGTAACCTAGGGTTCTTTGTCAGTCGGCAATTTGGGGAAAATCTCGATCGGACGCGTGCAATGACGATTCGTCAAAGAAAAGAAGAAATTAAGCTACATTTCAGCTACACGAAAATAAATATAACTGATTTTGAATAGTTTTGATAGCGATTGTAGAGCAGACTGAAGATACGACAACAACGGCAACAACATAGACGGTAATCGATGCAACTAGCCTTTTTTACGTACATCCTTCTGACACTCTTGGTTCCAAACTGGTACATGTTCCATTTGGTGGAATTGGATATTATTCCTAGAGAATAAGTGTATTGAGATCTCTTTCGGTGAAAAACAAATTAGGTTTTATTAACGAGGATAGTAAGAGACCCGATGCAACATCTCCACATTTTTGTTAGTGGGAGAGATGTGATGATATGGTCACCTCATGGATCCTAAATTCTCTGGCAAAGGACATTGCTAATTGTGCTGAGTATGTGAATGATTCTGTTGAGCTGTGGAAGGAATTAGAGGATCGATATGATCAGACGAATGGAGCTAAGCTTTACCAAATCCAAAAAGAAATCAATGATTTGAGTCAAGGAGTGCTTACATCACAGGCTACTACACAAAAATAAAAAAGCTCTAGGAAGAATTGAATACTCTGAGTATCAAAACTCATTGTAGTTGTGTGTATACTTGTGGGGCAAAAGAAAGTATGCATAAGGTAGAACAAGATAGAAGATTGATACAATTTCTAATATGACTTAATGAAGTCTATACAGTTGTTTGAGAAAGCATACTCATGATGAATCCTTTTGCCATCTATGGCACTGGCATTTGCTCTATTGATACAGGAGGAAAAGCAGAGGGAATTCAGGCCAAGAAATCAGCTAAATGGTGATTCCACTGCATTGAATGCTAATCTAGGAGGAAGAACCTTTAAGACAAACTACTCGACTGGAAATCAGATTACAAACAACAGACCCCGACCTTTTTGTGACCATGGAAAACGACCAGGTCACATTAAAGACAAGTGTTATAAGCTACATGGATACCCCTAGGGTTTTAATCAAGGATCACAACAATACAAATAAAGTTCTCAAGGATACAACAACAATGCAAGGTTCAACAAAGGGAAGAACATCACGGCAAATGCAGTTGCAAAGACAAATAGAGGAGAGGAGGTGGAACACCAAGGAGAAAATCAAGCATGAGTCTTTCAAAGGAGTAGTATGGACAGATTGTTTCAGATTGGCAGTACTGCAGAAAACTCAGCCAGTGCAAATATTTCTTGTCGAGCTTCCGTAAATTTTGCAAGTATGATTGCTTGCACCTCTTCAATTGACTTTGATAATCCATCAGGCAAATATTTTAGTGCAAAAGCTGACTTATGGATATTAGATTTTGGGGCATCACATTAACTTTTAACAAAACTCACTTACAAAATATTATAAGCTTACCATATCATCTGCTAGTTAAACTTCCAAATGATTACAAAGTTAAAGTAACTGAAATTGGAGATGTGCCCCTGACACCTAAAATTGTTCTTTACAAAGTCTTGTTTGTTCCATCCTTTAAATTCAATCTAGTGTCTATCAGTTCCTTAGCAATACATCTTAAATTCATTGCATCCTTCTCTGACACTTCATGTCTACTGCAGGCCCATTCACTGAAGAGGCCTCTGATGATTGGTAAGATGTGTGATGGACTGTACGTCCTCTGTTCTAAGTGTGTGAAGAAAGGTATTCTTGCACCTTAACAAAATTAAGATCTCCCTTGTGTTTACCTCAAAAATACGAGTAACAATTAAATTTGATTTGTGGTTTTAAAGATATGTGAGTTAGTTCAATACCAATTAATAATCAAGAAGTATAAATTATAAATGAAAGAAATAAGTGAATCAAACCAGTGTTACTTAAGCAATATCGACCTCGAGCTCAGTGACCTCGAGATGAATCAAGAACAATAAAGCAAGAACAATAAAGTTAAAGGACAATTCTGAAAAACAATGAGCGAAAAGTAGAGAATATATTCTTTGACAATGATTAGATGATGTTTACAAATGAATGGGGTCCCCTTTATATAATAGGGGAACCCTAAATAAGGTACATTTCCATTTATAGTAAATAATCTTATTGGGACAGCTGTCTAACCGCCTAGTACGGATTCGTACAAATTTATTCCGGGATTTATGACATGATCTTAGGGACGTGGCGGGAATCTTGCCCATTCTGTTATAAATCCGGAACGACATTATCCCGTGGTTGAGCATACTCGGCTTCGATATTCATCATACTTAGATCCTCGGGCATTGAACTCTGTCTTCGAACTCGAGTCTAATCTATCAAGCTCTAACTCGACCTTAGCTAAGCCCGAGCTCAGGGCGACCCCTCAACCCCGGAAAATCGGGCACACCTGATTTTGACCGTATACAGATAGTCCTCGCATTGTTTAGAATAAGATGGTAAGAAACGATTTGAACCTCGATCTTCCGGAGTCTCTGACATTGGCGTCATTCCCCTAACGTAGGCGCTCGAAGTGACCGAAACATCCCATCGATTCGCATTCCCAAAATATTAAATGATGCCAGTAATGGTCGGCCACTAGCACCGCCGAACCGTCGCCGCTCATCTTATAAATACGCGGTTCCTTCTTTGAATTTAAAACATTACTCGTTCATCACTTTTTCTCTGATCACCTTTCATCTTCATCTCTTTCTCTCATCATCCGCTTCCACCGCTCTTTTAAGTGCCGAAAAATTCCAAACTCCTAGAAAATACCATGCTCCGCCACCATCTACATTTCTTAGCTTAAAACTATGGCCAAAACTTCCAAAACAGTCCCCCAAAAGGAGAAGGCACCATCTTCTTCTTCTTCCCGGTCGGCAAACCAGTGGTGCCGCCGGCTCTTCAAGAAATCACTCCCCGTCCTTGTGTGATAAAGAAGGATTTCAATATTGAAAACCCCCCCAATATCCTAGGCAGATGCGAACATGTATCTTGATATATCAGCTCGATATTGAAGAAGTACCTAAAGGCCATGAAGAAGGACTGTGGCTGGGGTGACGAGGTCGGGGTACAGATCCCAAACCCCGAGGAAAGCATTACTACCCACGTGGAGGGTTCTTAAGTGTTTGCACGTACCCCTTCACACTAGGTCCCCTCGATCCGGTAGTGATCGATTTCTGCAAAAGGTACGAGGTTACCCTCGGCCAGATCCATCCCTTCTTTTGGCGTATCGTGATTATGCTGCGCTATTTCTCCAGCAAGGCTGAGGGATTGGAGTTTACCCTCAACCATCTCATTCAGCTGTATCGGCCTCGGCTGTTTTGAGGGCTCATCAAACTTCAACGTCGATCGAAGAAAGCCTTCATTGCTAGTAACGATGAGGATAAAGATCGAGGCTGGATGAGCCGGTTTATTAGAGTGAGGACCTCAGATGTCATCCCTAGGGGAAATGCCAATCCCGGAGAGATGGAACTTTAATCGTAAGTGAAGCCCCTTTTCAAATATCTATTCATATTTCGCTTCGTGTTTCGTAATGCCTTTACCTTTTCTGCAGATGTCGCTTGGATGCCTCATGATATCCCTGACCTCGAGGACTGGGTTTGAAAGTTAGTTGTGACCTCTTCGTATGATGAGCGCAAATGGCACAATTTATCGAGGGGCAAATGGAAGGCCAAACATCATGGTACGTTTTCTTCTTAGGTTTTGATACTTTTCTTTTATTGGTGATTCCATCTCATTCATGTTTATTTGTGCAGTCATTAGAGATGTCTCCTAAATGAGGCCAGCTCCACCTGGGAAAAAGACCGAGTCCCTGACTCCGAAATCAAGGAAAGACCACAAGAGAAACAGGGTTTTGAAACCCGAAGATCCCCAGGATGTGGGGGCCCCTACTCGAAAGCCAAGGAGTAAACTTATCCATGTGGACTTGGATTCAGCCATCCAACATCTGGAAGATGAAGAGAACAAAGGCAAAGAGTCCACGCTGGTGCCCCAAACTAGGAAACCAGTCGAGGCCGCCAAGTCCCCCGAACCTGAGACCCTGCCTTTTGGTGAAGGAACTCCGAAGAAAGACTCGGGCAAAGCCCTCGAGTCCCCCGAGATTGAGATCATTCCCCCTCCTTCGACAAGTACGCCGGAGGGGAAAAGTGCTGAGAGGGTCGAAGCTAATCAGAGCGCCCCGAGTGAGGATCTCGGGGCTGTGATAATGGGTCACTCACCTTCTCTGCCATCTTACTCCGAGGAGGCAATAAAGGATGCTCGGGCTCTGCGAATGCCCGACCCGAGCAAAGTTCTCGAAGAAGATCGTTTTCGGGATTGCTTCATCAGGGTTGATGATGTTATTGACCTTAATAATGCATCTACCCTCTTCGAAGAGGCTCAACGTCTCTTCTCTCAGGTAAACACTAACTTTTATTGTTGTAATTTTCTTTTTCCTCCTCTTCTTTTGACTGACATGTCTTCGTTTCGTGTGTAGGCCATCAACAAGTTCAGGGCTGAGCTGAGCCAATATGAGGCCGAGCTCAGGAAGGATTCGGGTGAAGAGAAGGCCCTAAGGCTCCTCTGTAGCCAAAAGGAGAAGGAGCTCAAGGACCTTCGAGCTAACTTGGCCAAAGCTCGGAAAAACGAGGTCGAGCTAGATGAGAAAGTAACTGTGATTTTAACAAAGTATGGTCTTATTGATCCTACTGTGGAGGCTAACACTTCGATATCTCAGCTGCAACAAAAGTTGGAGATGATTGGGCAGCTCCGGGGCGAGGTTGATCAGGTTAAGGCTGACTGCCGCTGATGGAAAGAGAGCATGGATTAGTTTGTTGCAGATAAAGAAACTGCTCTAGCCCAATTGGCCTCGACTGAAACTCAACTCCGGGGCATTAAAGTGAAGAGACTGGCCCAGTCTAAGAAAATTGAGGAGCTAGAGGCAAAGCTTGTTGAGGCCGGGGCCGAAGTTGCACAGGCCAAGGCTAAAGTTGAGAAGACGAAGGCTACGGCTGATAAGACTATCGTCGTATACTTAAGGGATGCCGAGGTCGTTCAAGCGGAGCTAAGGGAGGCCTCCAACCGGGAAAAATGGAGTAATGATTTGGCTGTGCCAAGCCCGGAGGGAGACTTTCGAAGAAATCCACGCCCGAGGATTCGACCTCACTGAAGAAATAGCCCAAGCAAAGGCGTTGGAAATCTATGCCAGGTTTCTTATTTTTTCTGATGATGAAGATGTTGTTAGCGATTCCGAGGGCGGGGAAGATGAAGATGGAGTCCCCGAGGAGGAGGTTCCCGAAGATGCGGCTCTCGAGGATGCAGCTCCCGAAGATGTGGTTCTCGGAGATGTGGCCCCCAAAGTAGATTAGGTTCTTGGCCTCTCTTTTTTTATGTTTTTGTGCAAGGGCCCCTCATGGGTATTGTAAATATCTTTTGTAAACATCTCTTATAAATATAAAGAACCTCTTTGCTTCATCTTCGATTTGAGTTGAATTTCGTTTCGTCTTTATTTGAAAAAACATTAATGCTATAACTCTAATGACCAGTCCGAATATTGGCTTGAACTTAGAATATAACAAACCCTTAGGTTTTTTATTGATCAATGGGCGATATTTATAATAGAATACCTCTTAAGGTTTTTGTTAATCCTCGAGATAAGCTTAAGTCGATTTGACGCGAGCTCGGAATGATGGGACTCTTGAGTCCGAGTTGAGTGAGAGTAAGGTCTCGAACTCCTCATAATTCGGCCCTTAGGCTCTTTTATATTGGCCCTTAGGCTCTTTTAAGTTGGCCCTTAGGCTCTTTAGGTTGGCCCTTAGGCTCTTTAAGTTTGGCCAATTCGGCCTCTAAAGCGGCTATAATTTTTCCTCTTTTCGACTAAAAGACTTAGTGAAAATTTTCCTATGCCTTAGCATGTGTTTTTGTACCCGTTGGATTTTTTGAAGGTTCGATCGATTGGAACCTCATTTGTAATTCGTTTGTGTAACGATGATCGCATACCTCTTGAGGTTTTTTCGAAGTCTGATGTTATCGAGGCCTTTTAAATTATTCGAGGGATGATTTTATCGAAGCCCTTTATCATTTGCTTTTGCCGAGGGTAGCCTGATTTAGCCGATTTTTTAAGTGTTTGAAGGCCTTTAATTTTATGGCGGAAGTTGGACGTCTCCAAGCCGCATTATTTCGCTCGTAGCTATTTTATATGACCGTAGCTTTTATTATGGTCGTAGCCTTTAATATGGTTTTCGCCTTCGGGTATGTCTCTTGGACTTGTTATCCGATAACCTTTCGAACTTGTTCGAAACGTTAGTCCCCAAGTATGTTGGCCCTGGCCTTTATATCGAGGGGATGCCTCTTTAAGGTCTTATGAGTTCGAGTTTTCGATGACTCGGATGTGTTGACTATCGATGACAGTCCCGGAGTATTCGGGGTGCATTTGCGTTCTGGCTCTTGAGCCGATTCCCATAGAATTATAAGTATGAGGCTCGTATAATAATAGACTTCTTTGAGACACATAGTGTTTTGATATAGAAAGAACGCTTCTTTGAATAATTGATACATGCATACATGTTTTGCCGTTAGGGCTCGACTGTTCTACATGGACACGGTTCATCTGACCGTTTGGCCCATTACAAAGTTCTCCTATCGAGGCCCTCTTGGTGTGAAGTATTTTCCTCAAAAATATAACCTCTGAGGATGATGCCCCCCAGTATTCGAGGTTGATTGAAAAGAAGCCTTTGATACTGAGTTCCCCTTAGGTAGCACATAGTTGTTGCCTCGTTAAAAACCTTGCCGGTAAAACCCATTTGGGGACAAAATCCGATCTAAGGGAAAAAAAGTGCAACATGTGCTTTAAAACCTAAGGCCTTCGTGTAGAAAGGTGTCTTCGATATCTTCGATCGAACACCTGCAACGGATTAGTTTCAAATTCAAATGGGAAAAAAGGAGAAAGTCATACGTTAGCAATAGTATCATATGAGTAGCGATACGTGCCAATTGTTTAGCAGTTGTTCACCTTCCATAGTGCTAAGTTTTAAGATCCTTTACCGACAACTCCAAGGACTCAGAACGGTCCTTCCCAATTTGGGCTAGTTTCCCTTCATTCGAGTCTCGAGTATTGAGGGTAACTTTACATAGAACTAAGTCCCCGATTTCAAAGTGTCGAAGGTTGGTACTTCTATTGTAGTACCTCTCGATTCTTTGCTTCTGCACGACCATCCGAACAAGTGCTGCCTCTCGTTTTTCACCTAATAGCTCAAGGCTAGTATTCATAGCCTCGTGATTTGATTCCTCCAATGCATGTTGAAACCTGGCGCTAGGTTCTCCGACCTCGACAGGGATAAGGGCCTCGGAGCCATATACTAAAGAAAACGGAGTATCCCCCGTGCTAGAATTTGATGTTGTTCGATATGCCCAAAGGACTTCGGCTAGAACTTCTCTCCATTTTCCCTTTCCATCAACCAATCTTTTTTTTAGGTTTTGGATGACAGTTTTGTTCGTTGACTCGGCCTATCCATTCCCAGTTGGGTGGTATGGTGTTGATAAGATCCTTTTTATTTTATGTGCTTCGAGGAACCCCGTTACCTTGCTGCCGACGAATTGCTTTCCATTGTCACATACAATCTCGGCAGGTATCCCGTACCGGCATATGATGTGGTCCCAGATGAAGTTAATAACTTCTTTTTCTCTGACCTTCTCGAAGGCTTGTGCTTCCACCCATTTAGAAAAATAAACAGTCATAAAAAAAATTTAGCTTTACCCGGGGCCGTTGGTAGAGGGCCGAATATGTCCATTCCCCATTTATGAAATGCCACGGGGATAGGACCGAGTGGAGTTGTTCTCCGGGCTGACGGGTCATTGGTGCAAACCGTTGGCATTGATCACATTTTTTGACAAACTCCTTAGTATCTTTTTCCATGCTATCCTAGTAATAACCTGCTCTAATAATTTTGCAAATCAAAGACTCGGCGCGGAGTGATTCCCACAAGTACCTTCGTGGATTTCTTGTAGAACATAATCTGTGTCCCCCGGCCCTAAACAATGCGCTAACGGTCCATCGAACGTTCTCCTGTACAATGTTCGATCTTCATCTAATGCGAACCTTTGGTTCGTAGGGCCCTCGATTCCTTATGGTCGGATGGGAGTTTCCCACTTTTCAAATAATCGATATACTTATTCCTCCAATCCCAAGTCAGACTAGTAGAATTTATCTCGGCATGACCCTCTTCAACCACTGACCTCGATAATTGGACGACAGTCCTCGGGACTGTTGATACCCAATTTTTCCCTCATATATTTTAAAATGCATATATACTCTCAAAAATAGTGCATGAGCATCAACCAGTTTTTTTCCATAATTTTTATGTATTTTTAAAAGGATTTTAATTAATTTGTTCTAGCATTTTATTATATAAATAATTACTAATTGCATCACCAACGGTTTTATGATAATTTTATTGCTTAATTTTATCATTTACATTTATACTAAGCTTTAATTCTTTTATGAATAGTCATATGTACATGTTAGGGTTATAATTGCAATAACTTTGCAATAATGGCCCCATGTGTGCATAAATGCCTTATTCCACAAGAAAATAACCTTTTATATTTTTATAATACTAATTTATTACTTTAAATTATTTTCATGCACAAATGATATTTTTATCATTTATAAATTACTTTATAAAATTATTTCATTAAATTAATTGGGTATTTAACAAATAGCCTCTTTTAATTTTGTTTTAATTTCGGACCTAGCCCAAATTTTTACCCCCCAGCCCAATTAAAATCATAACCTAATCTACCCTAGCCCACTTAAATGTAACCCATGACCCAACCTCCAAATAACCCGCCCTAGTCCGGAATCAATCCTGGCCGTTGATCTCAAAAGATCAACGGTCCAAGACTCTCTTTCCTTTTTTAATTACCCTAACGCCCAAAACCCTACTCACTTCTCCAATTACGCCGCCTCTGAATCCTCTCCTCCTCTCTTCTCTCTCAGACGCTCTCAAACCCTAGAGCGTCGTCTCTCAAAATTCCTCCCAAATCCCTTTGATTCCCAACCGGATATGGAATCATTTGGTGATTTACCGCCTTATCCGACCTCCTACCTCTACTGGTTGTTCGATTTTTTTGTGTTTTGAAGGAATCTCAAAGAGATTCAACTCAGAGTCAACCTAGACTCTTTATTTTTTTCCGATGAACCTGCTTCGTGTTCATCGCTACGTTTGTGAGTATTGTATCTTTATGTTTATGGCTTGAAACTCCGGTTCTTAACTGGATTTTTCCTCGCCTCGTTCCATTTTTCAAATACCTTCATCTCTTTCTACCTGGTCTGTTCATATCCTTGTAGATCTGAAATGATTTTAAGTTTACCTGGTATTTTTCTCCAAAACCTTCTGTTTCATCCTTACTATTAACCGATTTTAATGTTTTCTCTAAAACTAGGGTTTCATTTCTTTTTCGTTTCTGCAAAACTTTTCTGAAGAAGTTTGAGTGTTTGATTTCGTTACTCTTTGTTTGCTTGACAGTGTATGTTCTAAACCCTAGGGTTTCTAATTATTTCATTAGTTGTTCTGGTATTTGCCCGTTATTTTCATCTCTGTCAATTAGAAGAGATTGACTGAACTTATTAGGGTTCAAATTATATATTTTTCTGCCATGATTGATACTTCTCTGTGATTCTCTACCTATTTTCCTTATTTGTGACCCCTAATTGGTACTACTTGCCTTAATTAGTTTATTAACCAAATTTATGGGATTTGATTGCTTTAGCCGACTCCTAGATGGTCTTTGATTGATTTTATTGCCTTGTTCAACCTCTAATCTGGGTTGATAATTGATTTTCCCTATTTTAAGGGGTCTTTCCCGGATTCTGTTGAGTTATTTGATTTAGTTTAGCCCCAATTAACTAATTAATTTTATTTGTATACCTTATTTGTGAACTCCGAATCATTCTTTGCCTTATTTGCTTTACTCTGCTAAGTGCTATATAAACCCATTCTGATTTCTTTCAAATACACGAACACACTCAGAAAGATACAGAAACACACACAGAAACTCTTATTCACACACGCTCTCCATTGTAATTCTTTCTGTTACTTGTGTTTGTTGCACTGTCTAGCCAGCTGAAAGCCAAGCCTAGACTATTGGACTCAGTTTGCCTTCACCTTCCTATTTGCTATCTCTTAACTGGTATGCCCCTGTTTCTGTTATCATAATCTCTTCCATGTGCTATGTGTCTCAGTATACTTCTGCTTTGATATTTGCTTCCTAGCCATCTCCTTCTCAACTACTATGCTTCAGTTCCTATTCTCTATGACATATATGATTAGTTCACTCTGAACTTCAACATGTGCATGTTTATTATATG